GTACATACATCCGTAATAAAAATTACAAAAACATCTTTATCTCTACAAAGAATCTTTCAACAGAGCGGTAATGTAAATATTGACTTAAAGATGAAAGTACATTTTAAAAATAGAAACTTCTGAATGGTTTTTATTAAAAATATTTTCTACATATTAGCACTTTTGTTATAAAGAAGAGTATTTCTAACCGATCTTAAAAAATTTAAAAATAAGTTTTAAAGTGCATGTACTCTCAACATTACCGCCCTATATACAATAACAGTTATTAGTTAAATTTCTTAAGATAAACTTGGCTCGATAGCTGCTAGGGTGTATATACAGAATTGATTAGTGATATTGAACTAAAAATTACTATGTAATCGGATGAGAATATATAGCTTTTGGAAATTGGATTAAACGTACTGACGATAAATTAGGTTTCAAATTTTTTAGTGTCACACCCAAATATCACATGATTTAGGCGGAGATTACTTTGGAAATGTTTAATGATATGACAATCTAACTGGAAGGAAATTTCAATTTCGATTCAAATAATTCAATATTCGCTAAAGAAAATGTTTGATTATTAAGTGGACTGTCTAAAAGGTTCATAATGAGAAAAACGCTGACAAAAAAGCATCAGTTTCAGAAACCACAATGTAACCACTGAACAACACATGGTATTTACTAAGGAAGGCAGTTATGATCAACAAATGCATCTTGCAACTTAATGTACAGAAAACTTGACTAACATGTTAAAAATTACTAGTTCGAAGTTGATCACTCCTATAAGATCATTTAAAATATAAAAATCTAACTCAATGATTGTATCCATAAAATTGATGGACTGATGAGTGATCATGACTAGTTTAATTCGCTTTGTCTATACATATACAAGCATCAATTGTTAGTAAGAATATTAGGCACATGCTCAAAGATTTCCTTTTTAAAATGAAATTAACTAAACATTTTTTTGATATATCTAGAGCATTTGTATCTTTTGTTCTATACATAGACAGATAAAAATGAAAACGTTTTGAGATCTGCTTAAATGAATTTTTGATCAATTTTATCTGATCCCTTAACTAACGTATTACATAACATTTACCGCACACCAAAACTATAAATCGAAACAATAGTTAAAATGAAACTTGATAAATAGAAACATAAAAAAAACATTTACTTCGATTGGTTGATTGTTTTATCACATAAACATGGGCGGTTGGGCTGAAAGAAATATCGAACTTCGTATAGAAGTGAGTTAAATTAAATGTTGGGATGACCTTGAACTCGAACAACTTTAATCTGATGTCAAAATCAATTCACCAAACAGAGTAACACTTTTGTTTCTGACTAACTACAAATAATCAAATGAAAGTAATGTGTTCAACTCACTGAATTGACTTACTGGAATATGTGTACGATTTTAAATAATCAGATCGAGAGTTTAGACTAGTTACTTACAAATGGGACATAAACGATTGGTAATGTTGCTTTTCAAGGATTCACTATAGTAATTACACTCGATTACTGGAATGGTTTATACATAATTATTTCTTCAGATAACAGAAAATCAACGAAAAAATGGTGTTATTAATTTATTCCGTGACACCGTAAGTAGATAGTTTAGTCAATTATCAACCATTTCATCAACATCAAATACAATTTGACGTGCTACGTTCAGAAATGAATATAACAACTCAGCATGAAAGTTCGACTTTTCGAAAGTTGTATAACAACTTCCTTAAAGTTCAAAATCGGAATTTAAAAAATGATCCAAGTACTGTTTTCATATGTTTCATGTTAAGTCAATATATATATATATAACCATTAAAGCTGAAGTTTTTATTCAAGGGAAAAGAATGAAACTCAATAAAATACAACTCATACATTGAAGCTAAAAGATATAATTGAAGAACAATCAGCTGGTCAGTTATTGAGGTATACAATCACAATGCTAATTAACGATATATATTTGTTACATTAAAAAATAATTTATCAAACAAATTTTTTAGGTCTCAGATGGGTTTTGTGGACATTATGAGTCAGTTGAAGCTAGACCACCTTGGAAAACCTAGCTTCAACTGATTCATGATCTTAACCATTGAACTTACTATAATGTCCACAAAACCCATCTGATATTAATCAACATATGCTCACTAGTGACTGGCTTCACGAGGTATATCCTGAAGTTCTAGTGGGAAGTAGTGATCAGTGGAGTTCAACTAGGTCTGTTGTGAGACAGTAACTCAGTGAAGACAACGGTGGATGCGTCGCTCAATTTCGTGGATTAGCTGAAGTTAGACATTAACACCGTTGGATCCCGACTCAGTGGTTTAACGGTTAACTGCTCGCAGGAGGCGAGGTCGTGGGTGCGCACTGCTGAGGAGTCCCACAATGGGACGAAACGGCCGTCCAGCGCTTCGAGGTTTTCCATGGTGGTCTAGCTACAACTGACTCATGATCTTAACCATTGAAATTTTTTAAAATTATAAGCCGAAAAAAATCGATCAGTACAATTCGTAATACGTGTATATAGCTCAAGACCAATTAATCTAATCAAAACGCAAGACTGATACTTAATAACTCTACAGAAAAAACTAATTGTAAGATAGTTATGGTGCTTAATTTAGTAAATTGATTACACACCATTCAATGAGTGCATTCATCTTGTTTTTGAGACCTATAAGTTGAACAAAGTTTACTAATAGATACCACACAACTAGTTTAATATTAATCATAGAGAATAAAAAAACAGGAATCCTTATATAAAACTAAAGGTCTTGGATTTGACTCTTGGTTACGAGGTCGCGGATGCACACTCCCGAAGAGTCCTGTACTGGGGCGAAACGCTCATCCAGTAATTCCAGGTTTTTGATGGTTGCCTAACTTAGGTTGGCTTGTGATTTCAATGTAATCTAACAATATCTACAACCCCTTACAATAATAATATTAAGCGACAAACTAATTAAACAAACCTATAGATGCAAACGTCAGTACGAAGTGTCAAGTAATTAACCATCTAAGCTTTACAATATAATGTAGACTGATGAAATTTAGTAAATCGAAAAATCATGTAAGAATAAGTATTAATGTAAAAGCATTTAGATCACTTAACATTCTACAGATAGGTACGAATTCAATAGTTGAGTAAGATGGAGTTGGGAAGCTAGATGTACCACCATATGAGAACCAATAAATGACTTTTTATTTACGTAACACGTATCAGAATGAATAAACAAAAAAATATGAGCACTTCAACTTAACATGCGTCTATGCAACAAAAGTTAGAAGAGTCAGGCTAGTAAAATTGAAGTCTGAATGGATCGATTAGTAGTGACTTGATTTATTTAGAATACTTGTATGCTTCTTTATCGAACACTATAATTAAACAGTTACCTTGTAACTAGGCTGCAGAAAATTGACTAAGTGTGAAGTAAAGATATCAAGTTAGTCATAAGACAAAATTGTGTATTAATCGATGATCTGATATGCATATAAAGCTGTAAAAAGTTCTCTCAATATCATTAGTATTCATCTAATTTAAGACTAGATGTTATAACCTATTTCACTGTTCATTATGCAAACATATCTATTGAAATTAAACCATTAATTTATCACACTCTGTACTTTCATAGTTAAGCAGAACGTACATCAAACAAACTAGCATACACATGATTTTATTATACAAATTAACTTTCAATTATATGTGTGTGTGTGTTGAACATCACATATAGGCAGATCCATATAAATCTACTAATTCACATATATCACACATCAACAACTAACGATCATACTTATACATTCATTCCTTAGTCATACCAACAAAAATCGTGTTATAAAAAAAATGAAACAAACAAAAAATATTTGTTGGTTAAAAGAATTTATTAAAATTTATTTCATTTTATTACGAAAATTGATGCAACAATAATCAAATTTAAAAAACACACACACACACAGATAAATCACAAACAAGAAGACTAACGAAGACTTGGATATCAGAGGAGTGTACAAGGATATCTTGGTACGTAGAACGTGAGTTTAAACATTTAAAAAAATTTACTTGGAAGATTATACATTTCCAACTGTATTAAATAAGAGGTATATAAAGAGGGAAAAAATAAAGAGTGGAAACTGACAAAATTAAAATGTTAGTAGAAAAAAAAATCCAGATAAGTAATGTGTGAACAAAAAATGTAAACACTCAAGTTTGTATTTTATTGAAAAAAATGAAATTTAATTTAATGTATAAATAACAGACACATAAGGGTATTTTGTTTCAATTTGGGGAACTCAAACAAGAAATAATAAATTAATTATAATACTGTCAGTTAATACAAACTTCTCTTATAGATTAAAATTTAAATATTCCTTCTCATACTACTACGTTATTGCTGTGGAGAAAAACAACACATTAACATGTGTGCGTGTGTGTATATGACCAACTAAAATGGTGGAATCATTGAGTAATAGGTTGAAATGAATCAAAATGGTAAACAACCTGTTGTAAAAAAAACGATGAGTGGTTAAAAAAAACAATTTTTCAATTATGAAGCAACAGAATCTAAACGTGTTACACTGAGACAGGAAGAAACGAAATCAACCACTATCGATAACAATGTTCAGTTGATGTAGGGACCATTTCAAATGATGTTCTTTTATCTCAAACTAACCAAGCATTATCAGCTTATGAAGAAAAATCATACATCCGTATATATTTGATAAATACAAGAATAGATATCTTGGGAAATTTAATTATATTAAAAATTGGGGAGTAAGATGGACGGAAAAAATACCGAAGAACAATAATACTGTGTTGTCCCACAAAATAATTTTTTTCTAGAGAAAAAAAACACGAAAAAAAAATAGCAAACTGCCATTTTCGTCGGTATGAATGATACAAAGTAAAAACTTAACATTATGTAAATAAAAATACTAATAATTAAACAAACGAATACAAAATGGAATGATGTTATACAAACTAACAAACAATGAAGCACAAAACTTTTAAACACAATTACATCATCAATATCATCATGATGTTGGTTTACGACCACATATACTGTAGGCAAAAGATTCAAAGTCTAATGCACCAGAATCTCCCGTTGGTCCATTTAATACAGGCATATTCTGTAAACAATATTCCGCATCACTAGCAGAAAGACGATCTTTGATATCCTGAGCAGTGATATATCCCTAAAACAATATAAACGAGAGATTTTAAAAACAATTTAACTCTTGGCGAAAAGAATACAATTCAAACTAACAACTGATAAAGTGATCGAACATTGATCTCCATATCGTGATGGATAGATATCTACTGTATTCGCTAGGTTTTTGAAAACTGATTCATAACACAATTCATTTTAGACTGTAAGAAGCTAAAAAGCTAAAATCCTTTACTACTGACAACGCTACCAACCGAATTATTCAAACTATGGCTTGGATGATTCGAAGAATAAATAAATTATTCACATTATGTTGTGGATGAGATGCATTATACATTTTATATCGTCGGCGAAAAAAAGAGAATTTCGTATGAATGTCAACAAAAACTTGGTGCCGAAAGACAATGGTACTATACAAGTTGAATATGGGCAAAACATAGGATTGAATTTTATGTATGTAACAAAACATGTTTTCCATACAGAGTTCAAAAGTGCAAGTCTTCCAGAAGTATAGGATTGTCTTTAATAAAACAGTGATGACCAACATAGGCTGATTATGTCAGAAAATCAATTCTGAAAAGAGCAAAAACAAAAATTCTAGCAGAATAGCTTACAACCTGTGATATCTGACATTAAATATCACAGGTTGTAAGCAGCTGACGAGAACCAACGAAATAAAATGAATTCATGGTATTCTCCTAGAATTGTTGTTCTTGCTCTTTTCAAAATGATGAGGGGAACTATGTGCATGAAAGAAAATCAATTCTTCACGTCTCTATATTTAACCACCAATCTAATTTTATTAAATTGTTCAGTCTATCTAAATCACTGCTTTAGCCGAAGATCATACAACTTACTGTATACTGAAATCAAAAGGGTTCCGATGTACATTGAATTCTGTACTCTTGATAAAATTATGCAAACAACTGCAGACATAACTACTTGTACATCTTCTAAACAAAAGCACCTTATGACGATATCCTAGATACTTCTGAATGAATTGTAAATTATGCCATTTACAGTAGAATAATGACTATAAAAACAGAACTATGTAATATACTCTGTGGAGACTAAGCTTACTTTATCACCTCCAAGTGTTTTAAATGATTGAATAAGTTGTTCTTCAGTTGCCTCGTCAACATTATCTCGTGTCATAAAGTTCAAGAATGCATCAAATGATATGTAACCTGTATGACCGGGATCAACTTCATTAACAATACGTGAGAAATCCGTTTCCGCCTGACAATTTAAAATAAATAAACAAAAAAACAACGGAAGAATGAACAGGAAACAAAAAAAACGGAGGACTAGACTAGTATTTTATAGCTAAAAACAAATAGATCGTTTAATCATCTGGCTTTCTGTCGTTAAAGAATACAAACAATTTTTAAAGATTTATTGAAAACACGATTACTGATATGAAATGAGCACCAAGATAAGTATACACCACGTGAATAAGAAAGTGATATTGTGAATCTGTAGAGAGAGAAGGGAGTATAATTAAAATTAATAAATGAAAGAAAGCAAACGAACGACGGGACTAAAATAGACCACATTGGGATAAGTTTCTTTCTGACTTTCGCTATCCGTATATTAGTCTCATCATTCACACCACCACTAGTACACATATGAACACAAAGATAAACAAATATTTCGACCAACCCTAGTGGTTTACGGTCAAAAGTAAATGCATACAATTGATTTTATCAGTCTTTTTAAATTACTTTGCATTTAAAAAATGCAAAGTACACGTAATACCTACGGATTAGGAAATGATTAAGTGAGATTCGTGTATCAAGTAAAGTTTTATATACCGAGTCAATTTTATTCTAAATAACATGAAAAAGTACATATGAATATTGAAGAAAAAACAATTAACCATTAGTTACAATTATCGTAGGTAACTAGGAAGAACTGATACTGTATGATGAAACAACTTTATTCTACATGTTGTCTTACTTTTATTCCAATTTAGACAAACAAGACTAATCTCACGAAATGTACCAGAACCTCATTAGCTTTTATATGGAATTATAACTATTTAACAGAGATATTAAAAATATCTACACTTATTGTACAAGACTGATAAGTCCGTAAAGTTAACAAGTTTGTTTTTCAAAAGCCCACATTTCAAATGGCTAAGTTCAATGATGAATATATATAATGACATTGTAATATTAAGAAAAAATACCTGATTTCTCCTATGATGAATTAACGTATCGCTATCAACCAAAAATCAACTTGAATAATACCTAAAACTGAGTAGCAATATCATTTTTACTTCGAAAAGCACACATTATTGATAAAATATGAGATCAACACAATATTGATCCTTTTCTATAATTTACTGCATCAGTATAAATAGTAAAATGTCGGCATCCACAATATACTGAATCTTTATTATTTCATTGCGACAGACAAATTATATAAAACTTTTTTTTTTCGATATATATAGAATCGAAAAAACACAGCTAAAATAATCCTTATTTAACAATTAATTATATACGATGATAATAGAATTTAGACAAATTATGTGTCAAGAAAGATTTTGAAAAGGCTCTTATGAATAGTTGACTCAATCATTCAATTAACTGACTTCAAAAATATTTGACTGTTGATATTCCATTATGTCACTGTAAACACTGAATACTTCTGTTTGTTATGATGATTTTAATAATCACCAAACAACTGTCGTTCGCCCTTTATTCCATTCAGTGCTTAATCAGCTAATTTTTTCCCTTTCTCAATCAAAACCTAATTAAACAGAGCAAGAAGAATATACACGTAGTAGGAAGATGATTAAAATTACTTATTGTCTATTTTTCGGTTGTTTTCGGTTTGCTGGCAGGAAAAAATAGGTCGTAAATCTTACAGGCTAACATGATTAAAACACGTATAAAGGATGTGCGTCATAAATAATTTAGACTCGGACAAGAGTTGGGTTCTTTAAAAAGGGACCTATAGAAGTAAATATAACTAAAAAGACAACAACAGGATAGAAAATACATATAGATTGCTGATATGTATTGTATAAGAAATTGTAAATTAGGATAAGGTTGGGTTTTGTGTGGGATAATTCAATTTGAATGTAGTTTTCATCAAACAAGTCTAACATTAGATGGGAGACCAATGAAAATCAGGTAAAACACTAGATAGTGTTTTCGTCCCAGTTCGTAGGCTTCTTCAGATACATAAATATCATGATGTACGGTACATTAATTGTATTCTGACTGGGTAATGTATAGTGGGTTCATAAACTTCTAAGTTTGATAGTCAATGGAATTATAGCTATGCACAGTTGAATATTCCTAAAAAAGGATGAGACAACTAGTTCTAAGTAAATCTCCCGATAGCTGTCGGTCTGTGACAAAAACTATCTACAAACTGTAATTCGTCACAATAAGAAATCAGTGAAATATTTACTACCTTAATTAGAATAAAATAAAATGAACATATATCGATTAAAACCTGATCTATTCTTATCAAAACTGATTGTTTCTATGCGTGTTTGCAATAGAAAATACATACACACAAAGAGATAAATCACAATGAAGAACCCTACAATTTACATTTTAGATGAATGTCGATGAAATTAGGAATACAAACATGAACATCCAAAAGCCAATGATGGATATTTAAAAACAGGAGATAACCTGCATACGAAAGCTGAATCCCGTTAATGGGACGAAAGTAAGTTTAAAAAAAGGACTGTTAACTAAGCTCAAGACCACCACTGAAAACTAAAAGCATTAAATGGAGTCATAATGAGAAATCGTGAAAAGTGAAATTCGACCACGTCAAGTACAAGATAGTTATCCATCTCGAGCCGTGAATGAGGGCACTTTAATGTCGTGAATCGACAGAAATTAAGCATCAACACCGGTGGATACCAACTCAGTGAGATAGAGGTTAGGCGCTCGGGTGCATGGTCGGAAAACATGGGTCTGATTCTCGGATCCAGGGTCATGGATGAGCACTAACGAAGAGTCCCCGTATCAGGATGAAAGGCAGTCTGTTGCATCCCGATCTATATAAGATCAACTTGTGTTTTAAACCATAATAATTTTACAATCTCCACAAAATTCTGTACTGATTAAATATGTGTTGTAAAATGCTGAACATAAAATTTAAGACGGTTATAATAATTTTTATCCAATTGAAACATATTTAAAAGCTTATCGTTGATAGATAGTATCGTTTATTAAATTGATTTTCAACTACTCATTTTATTGGTAAATTTTGGTTTATTTAAATTCAAATTAACTCACTAACTAGGTACTTGTATATGAGCAGTATGATGGCTAATGATACTAACTGGTTGTCCAAAAGTGAAGTTAATGGACCGGTATTCAAACCTCAGACGTAGTGGCTAAAAGTCGAATGCATGAACCACTAAGCCACCGCATCACCACCACATCAGCGTAATACGCTAAGATGGATGAAGACGGAAAAGCGAAACTGGAAATTTTTATGGTCAATTCAATTATTATTCGAATAAAGGTATCTGAGACAAAGATCGGACAACTGCATGCAATACAGTTGTCAATGGCTCACACTTTTACTTTTCTTCAAAAATTAGTAACATTGAGAAAAACAATGCAAAAACGTCTAAGTGAGTACTGCATATCAAAACTAAGCTAATCACCAAAACACACTGCCAAAATCACTGTGAATTAGACTCCAGGATCACTACTTCACTAATATGAAGTTGAGGAAACCAGTAGTAAAATTCTACCGACTGACTAGCGCTAGCTTATGAAAAGGTATATATACATATATATTCTCCAGAATCATAACTATCGTCTTCACATGAAAAAAGTAGCTGATAGATCTGATAAAATGTTAACAAATGAATCGATATTAATAAATAGAAGCACCAGGTAGCATATGAATAATTTGGTTTTCATTTCCATAATACTTGAATTACACGGAGCTAAACAAGCATACATACCAACTTTAAGCAACAAAATATTAGCAAGTTATATGATGGTCTAAAGTTTTTTTAGAAACCAGGTCACATGGTTGAAAAATTAACATTTGAGTTCTACAATTGTGTTACAGCTTATCAATGCGTTAATTACTATAGATGAAACGGATACGCCTATGCACAAAATTGTGTGCAAATATACATATATTTATAGGATTTTTATCAAAAACCATCTGATAGAGTGGGTTTATTTAACAAGCCAACCTGTTTACTCATATAGATAGTAAATTGCACGTACATGTGACGATTTAAATTGTTTCGTTTTATAAGCGAAAGAATTTCAGTGAAAATTTATTATCGCCAACTTTAAAAGTGATCTATAGTCAGTGAATAACATGTCGTTAAACCATAAAGACGACATGAATAGTTGCAAGTTTTTAAAGCAAACTTTCCGATATTGATCAATTACAATAGAGAAATACGAAGTATTAATGAGGGGATGTCGTGGAGATTACCTTAATTTAAAAGTAGTGCTCGTCAAAGGCTGAACTCAGTCGGAACACATTAGAAAGAGGGAGGGGTACATTAACAGCTATTTTATTCCATTATAGTATTCCTCAAAAGTCTGCACCTATAGACCCCAGGAACTGATCGGACTAATGGCCTTCAAGTTTTGCAACAAGTCTTTAACTACAGAGAGAGAAGTATCAGTAAAGAAATATATGAGGGCACTGTGGAATAAGTAATTCAATAGTCACACTTTTTACCTATATTCTCCTATTCTACCTAGAATTAAACATTAATTTGGAAAGTGGGGAGTAATACGTAAAATAGACTCAAACAACTTTACTCAATGCTTGTTCTCCATCCTATCATGTTACATTCAAGTTTACATATTTTCAAAGGGACAGGCCAAAAACAGATGCATCAATATGATTGATAATTTACCAAGGAATTCATTGTGTTACATGGTCCCTAGGATTTCATGTGAATAAAGATGAAAAAGTGTATGCCAAATAACATCCATCCAGAGATCAAGCACATAAAACTCATAGGCTATAATATTAGGTTGCAGTTTCGAATTTCACCATACCTATTTCAATTAGAACAGTCCCGACCGTTACTGCTACCTTGATTTGGTGTTTGGGCATGCCTATCGTAATGAACCAATCGAGCTCCACTGACCAGGACAATTGTTCCTCAAGGGCCTACCATGTCAGACAGGTAGGTTGAAGAGCGGTAAAACTAAAAGCAACAAACCCAAGGTCCGAGGGCGAAGTCGTACTGCTGACTGTACAGAGGTGTGACAGCA